CGTGCCGCCTGTTCTAGTTGTTCTTGCTCGACACCCTGGTCCGTATGGTCTCACTCAGGCGACCGTCTCTCGCTCACATAACCATTTCAGTCGTGGACAAGTACGATCTGTCCAGCTTGAAAGTATTATTTTCCGGGGCCGCTCCACTGGGTCAAAGTCTAGTCAAAGCGGTACGTCTCCAAATATACTGACATGTCGGCCAAGTTACCAGATTTGGTCCAGGTTAAGGCCCGGCTCGTCGCGAAACGCGGAGGACGGGACGATCTGGCGATTACCCAGGGTACTGCTTGTTTACATCTTGCGGCTTCACATGTTGACCTCGCGCAGGGTACGGGCTGACGGAGACGTCTCCCACAACTCATATGTTGCCGGCTTCCGAGGCGGACAGCAGAGTGGGCACCATTGGCATATTATTGCCCAATCTCGAGGCTCGCCTGCTGGAAGACGAGGACGGCAAGATCGACGCCGCGGAGGGTGAGCCGGGTGAGCTGTGGATCCGCGGGAAGACCGTGATGAAGGTGCAATTATTCCATGTCTCCTAGACGGTATTTTAACTCACCCCACCAGGGATATCTCAACAATCCCGCGGCGACGAAAAACGCCATCACCCCAGATGGATGGTTCAAAACCGGGGACGTGGCCACCCGAGACAAGGATGGCTACTATCGAATTGTTGACAGGCGCAAAGAGCTGATCAAATACAAGGTGCGGTGCCATAACAAGTCCTTTCTTTTCTCGCTGACAGTTCCGACTGTAGGGTTTCCAAGGTATGGCTCTTGCGCTGAGGGGAACGGCCACCACTAAACTGTCTTCCAGTACCCCCTGCTGAACTCGAGTATGTGCTGTTGACCCACCCTGACATCTCGGACGCGGCGGTCATTGGACTGGAGAGTATCAAGGAGGCTACCGAGTTGCCTAGGTAGGATATTAATTGTCCCAACTTGCTCAAGCTCTGAACCTACTCGTTTTCAGAGCGTACATCGTGCATGCGCATCCCGAGAAGATCAAGACCCCCAAAGCAAAGCTCGAATTTGCGAACAGCGTCGTCAAATGGATGGAGACCAAGGTAGCAAGACACAAGTTCCTGAGAGGCGGCGTGGGCGTCCTGGACGTCGTACCCAAGAGGTAATAAGAGACATAACCCGAGCAGGACAAGTCGTTGACATTTCCTTTCTTCAGCGCCGCTGGGAAGATTCTACGACGTGAACTTAGAGAGCTGGCTAAACAAGAAGCCGCACGAGGTGATTTGGGTTTGGAAGTTAAAGCCAAATTATAATTTTATACGGGGACAATCGTGTTCTACATACGGCCTAGAATAATGTCGGGACCTAAAAGTCTGGTCAGCGTCGAACTTGTCAAGATGTGAGAAGGTCCCGGTCAGAGGTGTCAAAAGTTCTGGAGCACGCCCCACAAGTGGGTATTCACCATGAAGAAATTCAAAAAGATCCAACGCATCATAGGGAAGGATGGAAATGGATGTGGGATGGGAAGCTCACCTTCATTGAACCCAGGAAGCAGCCACGAACGAAGAACCTCGAAAAGTTCCAGGATGAAAAAATTGGGGAACCGCGCCGAATGAGAGTGAGCCCCATTGAGTTGAGGACCCGAAAAGGGTCAACAATCGTATAACTGTGTCTATGAGCAACAAGCTGCCCGCGTTCAGCAAACCACCCGAGCAACAGGATGCTCGTGTCTTCGCAGCCTGCGCCTTCGCCGAGTGATCCACCTGCAGACGGGCAACGGAGTGGCTGGGACGGAGCAGCGGCTTGTGAAGCACAGACCGTGCAGAGACATCCCGCCGTCCTCGACCCGACCGACGTGCTTGGGGCCGGTTGCTTTCCATTAAAGGTCGAGGACACGCTCCGTATCTCCGGGGACTTTCCCCACAGCAAAAGATGAGAGCAGAAGCACTCTGTGCGGAAGCTGCGACAACGATTCTTCAGACGGCGCGGGTTAAGTTGAGAAACGAAAAAAGTTGGGTTTATATATGTTTAGCTGGCCCGGGTTTGTGTCTGTTTACCTGGGCCCGGCTCCGCTACCTCCACGCAGACGCGTCCATGGCAAGTGATTCGGGTAGTCGAACGAAGCAGCAGCAGACCGCGAGGACGGCAAGTGGCTTGCTTAAGACCGTCATCGCACATCTCAACTCACCATCAGGTCGTATTCTCAAGCTTCCCCACCATCAAGGTTATTGAACCGCCAAAGGGTAAGCTTCGCTGTTGTTTGCGCGTCTCCGATACCGACATATCCTCTAGGAACTTTCTCGACCCGCAACGACCAATGGTGCCTAACGTACTGCTCACAAAACGTCAGCGGGCGTATCCACCAAAAGCCGCCGTGGTGTCGATCTGTGTGTCTGCGCAAAGTCTTTTCGCACGAAGTGCGGAATATCCTCCAGTTCAAGAGTCATAAGGACATGGGCCCGGACGGAAAGGCGCGATATCCACTCCCATCAGAAGGCCAGCCCTTACATCTGCCGCGATATCTTGGTGGAAAGTCGACCGACGATCCTGAACACGACAGGAAGTCGCCCGAGGATACCAAGTATTGGGACGAAGGGTGGTATTTCTGGAAGACTTCCAACTACCTGGGGGTGTACAGCAGCATTTCCCAAATGCAGCACAACCTAGAAAGCCAGGTCAGCTTGGATTCGGTCAAGAATGCCAAGCGGCAGCTGTGGAAGGAGTACCAGGAGTTTCTTCGGTCGGGCAAGCCGCGGACACTGGAGAATAAGTGGTTGGGCCCCGTTATCCCCCCAAATTTTGGGCCCGATGTAGCGTACGTCCACCAGCTGTGGCGTCTTTCAATGCTTACCATTTTTGCCAGTCCGGAATCTCTTTTGGTCCATCTGCCGCTTGACTCTGGACCTCTGCTAGAGCCCATATACAATGTCCTTGGCCCTGCCAAACGTGCTCTCCACCTTTTCAACGAGAACTTGACGGACGGCAATTACCAGAAATTTGGTTTCCGGGTTTGGGACAAGGCGCGCAGCGGCGAACCTTTTACTCTTGCGAGCCGCGCGTGTAGCTTTGGTTATGAGCACTGGAAGAACAAGGACAAGGGGTCCGATGAGGATGACAAGGAGAAGGAGGCGTAAGGTCTCGTCCGCATTTATAAATTGGCATCATTGTAACCATACTGCTCGCACACATACCTCTCTTTTAACTACTCCTTGGAATGTAAGTATAGACTAAAGACCTAATCCTGCTCTGTGTACTGTGTCGCGGAGGAGGAACTGGCATCTGTCTAGGCAACACCGCGACGCGTTTGGAATTTGCTCGAAGAATTGCCTAATTGCCGCCACGTGATCTCGGACTTCACGATCGAGCAGCTTTGTCAGTTCGACTCGCGTTTCTTAAAATGCCGCCATACAGCTCCAGACGGTCATCCACTCTCCCCGCTCCCTTCAACAACACGTAATGGAAAACGCCCCGATCGAGGTGCAAAGCGTCAAGCAATGGAACGAGACTCTACGCGGGTCCACCGCAGCTGGAATGACTGTTCTTGTTGATTTCCATGCTCAATGGTGTCAACCGTGCAAGGTATCGGTTGTTGTAATCCTTGGAATACTTGTCTGATCCTATATTGGCAGGCCATAGCTCCTAGATTCAGCATGCTCGCTACGCAGAACCCCCATGTCCGCTTTCTGCGTGTCGATGTCGACAAACAGAAGGCGATCGCGGCAAAATACCAAGTTACAGCAATGCCCACATTCCTCGCGATCAAGGCTGGCAAGGTTGTAGATATGGTGGGTTACCTTCAAACGAATTCGAGTTACGTCTAACCGTCCGCAGGTGCGAGGAGCTGATCCTCAGGGTATTGCGCGTCTTGTGCAACAACATGGTGGCCCCAACCCTCCTATCGCCCCGCTTCCAGAAGAAGCCGAGGCAGCGAAGGTGGCTGGTAACGTGAGTCTTTCTTAACCGCTTTCCCATCAACCCAGTTCCTTACTTCTTGCATAAGGCTTTTTACAAGGACGGACACTACGAGCAGGCCATCGACAAATACTCTGCTGCGATCTCGCTGGCTCCCAACTCTGCCGCATTATACGGCAACCGCTCCATTGCGTATCTCAAATCGACGCCCCCCAATCTTGACCTTGCCCTCGCCGACGCACAAAAGGCGACAGAGGTGGAGCCGAAATGGGGTAAGGGCTATGCCAGACTGGGGGAAGCGCTGCAGGCCTTGGAAAAATACGAGGAATCTGTAAAGGCATTTGAGAAGGCTGTGGACTTCTCGCAGGGTCTTGCACAGACAGAGGCGAAGCAGAAGCTACAAGTTGTGAAGAAGAAGCTTGGTTGGCATTAGATTGGTTTCGTTCCTGGCATCTACTCTTGTATCCGTAGGACTGATTGTGTAGGACCCTGCTATGTATCACTGCTTGTCCATCGGGCTGATATTGGTATCCTCGGAACTTGTGGTGATCACTAGCTGGGGACACGTTCGACAACTTTCGTTCTGGACTTGGCTCCGGCCGAGCAGTTTGGCTCTCTCACCATCTTAAACTAGACAACAGATGTTCATGCCTTTCTCAACTGCGCTTTCCCCGATTTCGCCTTCATGATGAATCATATGTGTATGCCTTCGACTTTTGCGACAATCTTGGTCGAGAGCTATCTAGGGAAGCTTTGCGGGCCACTCACAAAAGAACTCGAGGGCGAGGCGACTGTTTCGTCAACCTACCAGCTTTTGTTGGAATTATGAACCGGGGAGTTGGGTAGTTGCTGAGGAGCGGGGCGAGCGCAGCGAGTCCCGCGACGAAGCTTGTGGCCATTTGCGGATCCTCATAAGTTTTTTTCTTCAGCTCAGATCATGGATGCTGTGATTTATCCCGCAACTATTATCGGCTCAAGTAGTCAAGTCGCGGGGCTTCGGCCTCTTTGGCATGGAAAGTTCAACTGCGCGGTGTGTGTGTGGGAAGAGGAAGAAGCGTTACCTTGCTCACCAGGCCTTTGTGAAACAAAAAGTTTCGCCCCCGGGTAGTCGAAGCAAAGAAGAAGTGACAGCAGTGGGGTTCGAACCCACGCCCTTTCGGACTGGATGGAGGAAGTTCACCTAATTCCAGCGCCTTAGACCACTCGGCCATGCTGCCGACGACGTATTGTTTTAAGAGAAAGTGACAGCACAAGGGCAAAGTACTGCAGAGCGTCGTCTACAGGAACATACACACTTGAGATAATCAAACGGCTAATTCTGACCCTCAGAACACCATGCCATGACTTTTCCTGAGTCTGGAACCTGCGGGTGAGCTGTTATAATGGGGGAGGTTCCGCTTTCCCAATCGGGATTGCTATAGTTTGTTCGGCGTAGTGGTACAAACAATGGATCACGTGCAAACGCCCGCTTTCAGCTCTCCTCCTTTCCTCACCTTTCCTCCCTCAGGCCTCAGAGGCAAGATCAATCACCACCGCGCCGCTGGACCCGACCGTACTCTCCGAGGACGTCGTTGCCTCGCCCCAAAGTCAGCAATGACTCGGTGCCAAGCCTCTGCCAAGCCTTTGCCTTCCTCAAAATGTGAATCTGTGCTTGGTCTCTTGAATCGAACTCAACAAACCCCACGGGCGCACAACGCGGTGCTCTCACTGGAACCTACTGCCCTCAGAGTTCAGCTCGTGAATCCCAGTCATCCACGAACATGTGTCGCATGGTTCGTTTCCGCGGTCATGGTTTACCTTGGCTCTTGGTACGAGATCGCAATCAACCTATGACCGGCGGTTTTTTATTCACGCACTCTCCACATGCTTTGTTTCCGGACGTGACTGGGACGCCGTAACCCTGCTTTTTTTTGTTCGCAACCTTCAACGCCGCTCTCCAGAACTTGAACATACACCTATCTACTTCCCTTGGATTGGAAACTTCCTCTGTGAAATCCTCAAGTCTGGCGAGCCTGGCCATTTCGATGCGTGGAAAATGTTTACGCTGCTGCCAACTGGATTGACGACAAGACTTACTGCTTATTCTTCAAAGTGCATCTGATATCTTCCACAGAGTCATGCCCCTTGAACGGTCTTCACCCACTGTCGGATGCAAGGGTGAGATATGTGAGCCTTGTGTATCCGCCACGGCTTCAGCTCTTGCCGAGGAACGTCTCATGGAAGGTCCATCGCTCGTTTCGGATTCCAGGCCGATTACATTTGCAGGCATATGTTCTAACATAGCTGGATCAACCCCACTTAAGCTGGCAGTGCAGAACAACTGTGTGTTTCCTGTCAATTCTCCACACCAAAGCGCATTGCATCAAGCCGCACACTAGTAGCAAAATGCAATCTGAATGCACATGAGCATCATACATGTACCGTATGTGTCACGTTCTCCTCAGGTAGGATAGAAAGATGTAACGGCTTGGGAGGCTGGTGATATAATTCACTCATGCCATGTTATGGCAAGTTGAAGGTAAATTGGAATGCCATGGAAGGCCCTGTCAAATACAAGGGGAGCATAACCCCAAAACCCGGATTGCATACAACTCCGACTCACCACAGTGGCTTATGCTGGAGGCCGACGGAAACGGTAGGAAAATTGACAATCTCCGCATACAAAAGCAAACATAAACCGAAATGTTTGATCTCTGTGCGGACATGGCAATTGCCCAAATTCATATCCCAAGGGCGAATCAACCACCCAAACAGAGTGTCTGCCATCCAACCCAACTGGCACGCGAACAAAGCCTTCTCGCAATTTAAATCGAAGGTCCGATCGCATGCGAATGATGCGATCGGAACCATGTCCACCCATGAAAAATAATATGGCTGAAATCGACAAAATCTGTTTGGACCTCTCACAGCATACCTCTTGCCAGTCATTTGTTATTGCTGTACCTCTGTTCTCCAATCAAAAACGATTTGTGTCCAGCTCATTTTGATTCTCGAAGAAAGAGGGGGCCCGGGACAAGATAGTATATATATATGCGCAGCTCTTCTTTCAAGCTTCCATATAGGATATGACCTGGACCTGCCAGCTTGCCGATCACTGTCTCGCCACAAATATAAGATCCTGCTAAGCTACAGATAGTGTGCGGCATACTCGTGAATCTTTAGAGAAAGCAATAACATACTTGCGGAGTCTGTGCAGATCCTCCCGACAGATTTTCTGTGGTTTGTTCACTAGGTCGTGGGTGCCAGTCCTGCATGATTCTGACGCGCCGGTGGTATGAAGCGGAAGTGTTGAGGACCGCCCGGACCAGCTGTTTGCCTCCGTGTGCATATATGTAGTTCTTGCAGTAACTTCGCAAGATTGGCTGCGTCAAGCAGAGTAATCATTCGCTGCCATGCTTCAGTGACAGAGTGAGGTCTGTCCACGGGACGGCCGTAACGGCTGTGGTCACTATAATCTGGAGCATGAAGTTGAAGAAGCCCAGATAAAAAGGTAACACGCACCGAAATATTGGATCCTACACGCAATCTGCAGTGGGGTCGAAGTACATTTCTCCTGGGCGTGGGGGAGGGCTCTGGGTGATTGCTAAGCTTAAGGAATTTCGGATCAACCCAATTGAAGTTTCATCTTTCACCCCAAACTCCAATCGTATAGAGCCGTTTTGTCAATCTCCTTGCTTTATTGTTAACTAGCAGTTACCCGTGCTTCGCCACGGAATTCAACAGCTGAGGGTTTGCATTCCACGTCCTGTTGACTTTATTCACATACTCAACTGAGGACGCCGCTCGTCGTCGACTTTCGGTCGACTCCTCGCGGCCCTATACACAGTTCTCGAGACATCTCCTTTTACCTTCTTTCTGGCGGTATCGTGGACCGTCGCACTGCTGGAGCCTGAGGCAATTACAGCATTCAAAATAACCACCTACCGCTTCAAATATATCTTCCGGCGGGCTTTCTTGTATCAAGCTATGAGATTTGCTTATATGCATTCGAGATCTTGCGTGAATCTTACTCCGCCTTCATCTTGCCTCGGTTCCGGTCTTCAGTGCATCCATGCCAGCATACAGATCAATGTGCTCTTCCATTCACAAATTTGGCTTCATTACACCGTTCTGGCCATCCTGGAGATTGTCGTGGATCCCGCACCAAAAATACAACATTGCCAGAAACCCAGACTGGCACTATTCAGATAACTAAGTCACCGGCACATACATAAAGTCGTAGCATGCTCTGTCTCTACATCGGAACCCAGCCTTCATCTGGCTGTCCGGAGCATTGTCAATTTGCTTACTCCTCATTCACCTACTCGGGTACTCCGAGTCGCAACAGTTGCCGCTCGTCTTCATCTTGCCTTCATCCTTCTTTATCCTCGCAGTGGGCCCACATCCTTTCTTTATCCTCACAGTAGGCACACATGATTTACCTTCATCGGGCAGCTTAAGAAATCGGACTACACACGATGATTTTAACTATGGATTCAACAACTCAACATCGCTGTGGAGCCGGAATGAACCATCGGCACAAACCGGAACCATTTGACCGGTTGAATCCGGCAGCTCCACCTGGCTCCACTTTGATGTTTGTCGAGACACCCCACGTCGTTTCTTATATAGATCCGCAGACATCAAAAGTCTCAATGCATACAAATTTGACAAAATTGCTCTATAGGATTGTAGATCATGTTGAACATAAATTTCTCCTGCCCTCCCACGATTTTTATTCTCTTCTGCACTTCACCCAGCGGTGCAACCATGTTTTGGAGGGATTCTGGATCAGAGCTCCCATCAGTTGCCATCACTGATGTGGTCGGTGCCCACCACCACTCAGTTGAACCAGACTGAACTCTCGGTCAAATTGGAGCTGAACTGGTCCAGTGTAAGCCCGGAAAAGTCCAGAAGCATAAAGTCGCCTTGAGCGAAATGAACCCATGTTGACGGACGTTGTTATATCCGTGCATCGGACCTTGGGACTCGGCTCTCGGAGCTCGCCCGACCTCCGACGGCGGTCGGCCGACGGAGCTCCTCCGCCGACTCAGCTCCACTTCAAACTCCTTCGGACCTCGTGTTCGAACCGGGTTTTTACGCAACGAAGGATTACTGAGCGTTTCCCGTTTATCCGTCTTCTCACTTATTGTTTAACCTCATGTTCTAACTTCTATTTCCTTTTTGGTCAGTCGCTATTGTTGCGCTTAGACCATCATGATATTTCCTTATATAGATACATAATAACCTCCGATAGTTTAAATACGCCACCCGGTCATCTTGTATCTTTAGTTTGTTAATTAACGTTGTATGACACGGCACTCTTCCTCTTAACGTTTCTACTTGGCAAACCCGAGTCAGCTTCGTCCTAGAGTGTTCTCCCTCCGACTTCCTCCGTACCTCCGTTCTACCTCCGTCCCTCCGAAGAGAAGGATTCCTGCTACAGGCTCTCACCCTGCTGTTTGTGGTGTTGAGTGAAACCTCCCGCACGATCCGGTCGCCATCTCCGATCCCCGATTGTCGATCTCCGATCCCCGATCTCCGACCCGTCGCCTCGGCGCATTATCCTCGCACGAGTTCCTCCGGTCACCCGGTCGGCCGAATCACTCCCTCTTCCTAGTCCCCTCCGCCGCGTATATAACAGTATTAACAAACTCACTGTTCAGGCATCCTCTCTCATCGTCTGCCTTCACCTGGCGACTTTGAATTTGTTCGGTTACACCTCTCCGAACTCTGATTCTCTGGATTAATCCGAATCACCATCTTCTTGCTTTAGGCGACATCTCGGACACCTTTCCGACGTCTTATCCTATGGGTTCACGGATCTCGTTCTTTGCTCCGGCTCTGGCCGAGCAACCGGCTCCGTTCATTTCTGGTCTTTTTCCGGTGCTCTTTCCGTTTGTTTCGTCGCGCCTTTCCCGACCTCTAGCATCCGCTCTCGGTCTGGGGTTCGGCGGCGCCGAAGCGGCACTCGGACTTCGACCTCTTACTCTGGTCTCGCATCCGCACCATGTTCCGGTGTATGATCTCTTGCCTATGGACCCTCCGAGACACCCCTCGGGTCCGGCCGAGATTCGGCTCTGCGACGACAAGGGGAATCCATTTCCTCGAAGCATCCTGCGTACATCCGGTCCTCTTCCGCACTTTTCTTCCGGTTTCCGGTCCGTCTTTGACGTCGACTCTGGAGCTCCGGCTTCAGTCTACTATCACTCGGACTCGGACTATCACCACCCTCGGA